GACTCTTCATGTACTGATGCCTCATCTCTTCTAGTAGGAAAGCAGACAGCCCCCAGTGTGCCCAACACCACCGAGTGAGAGCACTCTTCAGGGCAGGTGTACTATGCAAGGTAGCCTCTTAATCTTCTCACATGCACAAGCACTATTTTTCATACCAGCTGCATCTTAAACACTCAGTTAAGATGGTGATTAGTGGTGGTGGTAGGGTGTCACAGTGGGAGCTTTCTTAAGAAGAAAAGGCTTTGATTGAGCCAATGAAAGCTGTTGCCAGGGAACCAGATGCCATGAACACACCACTCCAGCAGAGCAAGAATACAAACCATGTGAGTGCTGGACTGAGCTTTAAATGCATTTGCTGGTTGAGGCCTGAACACATCATTAACTCTTTCAGTACGCAAAAGAGTTTACACAATGAATGGGGAAGATGGGAATCTGATACAGACACAGAGGAGCAAATATCTCCCCATATCTCTGCATTACACCCTGTTGATCCAAAAGAAAAACAAACTGGGAGGGAACTTTTGACCTTTAGTTTTTGACTGACAAAGGAGGCTTGTTTGTTTTGTAAAGTATGTAAGGAAACTTCTCTTCAAAGTAACAGTTTTACACCAATGTGAAAAGGAATCAGATAAGTGCCCAGATAACCCTATAAAAGTATTAAGCTTGTTTTTAGGCGGTGTTACACATGAAGTTTGATGTGCACAAAGTGTTCATCGGTCAGTTCCTCAGCAAGAGGAACAGAATACCTTAGATTCCATTTTTCCCAGGTTTGAGCTGGTTTCCAACACAAATGTTACCGATTTGAATTTTATCTGATCAGTTGCCAATTTGTTTCAAAGTTAACTTTCCACTCTGATTACTAAACAGCCTTGTACTCCACCAACAGAGCATTTTTTTCCTAATGTAAATTCCACAGTGCTCTGCAACCCTACCAGTAAAACGCAGCTAAAGCTCTAATTAAAAATCATGCCTGCCATATGTCAATTCATAAGAACTAAAATTAAACTAACAAGGGGCTGTAACCAAAACTTTTTTTTGAACACAAGAGCCTGCCTACTCCATTTTGAATTGGTAACATGTGGAAGCCTGGGTAATTCTTGCAGGACAATGACTAGTCCCAAACATTTTCATCTTCGGGCTTCCAGTTCCAACCCAGCACAGGTTCCTAAGTGCATAAAGCTATTCCTACTCCATAGCCTGAGTGAAAGCCCCTCCATTCCTGTGTAGCCAGGGCTGTGCTTTGATTCCACAGCGTTGGTAACAGTGTTGAGCAAGTAACATGTTGCTGGCAATATTACACCGAACTCCCCCTTTCACTCTCCATTTCAGCCTTTTTATGTCCTGTGGTAATGCCAGCCATCTATTGAGCTACGAGCTGGGGTTCAGTGTACTCCTTTTTATGCCTCTCCCACGGTGCAGAAGGCCTGGGGGGAAAGGACATAGCAATACCATTATAATGCTTAAGTGGCCATAAAGTCCCAGTGTGAGTTCTAACAATCTGGACATAAAGGAGAATAAAAATTGAGCCCCTCAAATTTATTCTAGGGGATTGGCAAAAGTGAGTATAGTGCAAAGCTGATTTAAAATTTTCACACAAACTCCTGTGCCAATTCCTGCCCAGCTTGCTGATGATGGAGAAATGGGTTCCTGAGTACCCACTGGCCATCCAACCAGACATAGCATCTCACTGTCAAAATGACACCATTCCTCCCCCCAGAGCCTCTTGGAGTCCCAGACAGCAGCTATACAGTATCTGTATTGCATAGGTGAGGACTAGCAGAACATACACACCGCGCAAACTACAGCGCTGAAAAAGGTATCACAAGCTCATACAGAGCTCTTCTGTCTCCCTAGATTCTACAGTGATTTACTTGATGGTCCAGAGGCCTGTTGTGGGCTTGGCCCTGAGAGCTCGCATTAGGTCCTGTGTTGCTGTGAAGAGGGGCTGCCTGCCCACTTACAATTTAACTTCTGCGTTTAATCTGTAGATATGCAAGCCAGGCTTATTGCAGTTGTTCCCACTGCAGAGCCCCCATCTCGGGCAAGACACAAATGCCTCTTTACAAAAATTCTTGCGTAACCCCCATAAAACTGGGAAAAACAACACTGGAGCTCAGCTTAGGTTAGTAATGAATAAGTGAAGAACTGGAAGAGATTTCTACAGGCAGTGCAGAGTTATCTAAACACAACTTTGGCAATGCATGAGGGCTAACAGCCCAGTTTTCTAACCAGTTCCATACAAAATCTCTTAACAATCAAAACCAGTCAGTGTCTGCACTTTGTACTTTGAGCCTAAAACATACACACAGCTAGATACTGCACAGTGGCAAAGGAAGACATTCTGGTGTGCTGGCTTAGTGGGACATCAGGATAAAAGTGTCACTTACTGAACAAACATGAATCCGTGGCATGTCAGTGACCTCTGCAGAACTCCTGTCAAAGATCCCCCACAGATGTGGCCCTGCTCAGTTTGCAAGAGCAAACAGAACTGCAGCACAAGATGGTATTGTTACACAGGCTAATATCCAGTCTCTGCACTACAAATACCTGCAGATGTACTGAAGTTAACCATCCTGGAGAGTAACACTTAACACTGGCTATTGCTGTCCCCCTCCTGCAATGTGTTGCTCAGCCCCTTGCCAAAGACAATTACCCCAACGCATATGTATTCCTTACACACACTCACACTCATGCTGCTTTGTTAGAGGAACTTAATTGAATTTACAAACTGGAGCCTTCAAGAAATATGAAGTGCAAGATGTAATTACTGCATTTACAAAATACATTTCCCTCCTTTCCACATGCATCAAGGTATAACTCTCAGTTGACATAATTCCATGTTCTCCCCACACCAAGATCCAAGCCTCAGTGCAAAGATTATACCTGCTCCAGGACAAAAGTGACAGTGGCCTATAGGACACGAGACACCATTTGTTGCAGCAAGCAGAAGATGCACAGCTCGTGAGGCAGAAGAGAGTGGGGGAAAAATGAGAGCTTCCTGGACTGAGGGAGCTGAATGCTGCCTTGACAACTGGACTTTGTCCCCAGATATGGCATAGAGTCCCTGTGCTCAATCCTCAGGCTACCAGGTCCAGAGCCCTCTGACCAATCTCTACAAGTCCATCCCCACACTCCCCTGCAGCCCATGTCCAGTTCAGTTTTGTCCCCACTCATTCCTCAGTCCTTCCTTTTCCTCCATGCTCAGCCTCCCCAATGCTCCTTATGTCTTCTTCCTCTCCTTGGCACTGGCAATAGATTTTCCATTTCCTTTCTCAGACCCTGCTCTGGTTTCCCTTGCTCAAATTGTTTCCTCCTTTGCTCTCAGGCCCACCTACATTCAGGTCAGCATCTGGTCCTACTTTGAGTTACCTTGTTATTTTTTTCCCAAGCAAACCTCTCATTACAATCACTGTCTCAATGAGACATACTCTGATACTGAAAATGCATGTTTTCCATAGCTGTCCCATACAGATTTATTATTTCAATTATACATGATTCTGAATTTACACACATCTGTTTTAGTAGCATTTAAAACAGATCTGATGTAGCACAAATGCTGGATTTTTAGTTGTAAAATGCATAACCTTCTAAGATATAAACTAGCAGTACTCACACAACTGACAATTATCAAAAGCAATTGCTGTTACAGCCCCTTCTCACAACATTAATGAAATTTAATTAAGCACTACTTAATAACTATGTGGCACAGCGCTGGAGAAGAATTGCTAAAGAAATGCAAAGCAGAGAATCAGTGACAGGCTTTGGAAGTAAATTTAGATTGCTATTCTCACCTAAATCTCTGTTTTCTTAATTTATGTTTGGCTCAATTCATTATAAAGTCATGAAGAGCAATCATGCTCGGATGAAATTTATCCTAAGCTGGGGAGAATTTGGAATGGTTCTGCCAGTACAGGCTCATTTCTCTTGCTATTCTGTTGTGGAAAGTGTCATTTTTGCCAACTGAAGAAAGCAGCTTCTCTGTTTGAAGACATATTTGTTTTGTACATTTTCTATTGCTGTTTGTATATTGTAAAGCACTTCGAGCACATGTAGAATGAAAGACACTGTATAAAATAAAGTTAAAAGTTGTAGTGTTGTAGTATGTTGTAAGTCTTTGTACATGGCAGCAGGGGGCACTTCCACAAGATGATGCTGAAATGCAGTTGACAGACTACAATAGTTTGAAGGCCAGGCAGAAGTGCTCACAGTGTATTCACATCCCACTTATAAAAGCAGAGCATGTTTGCACTGAACAGTTCCTTGCCCCTCTTGTTCCTACTAAAAATTCCCAAAGCAAGATAAGTAGCTTAGTGAGAAAATTCCTTTGAACAAAGTATGAAAAGGGTGAAGAAATGCACACCTGAGCACTGAAGGAAATAAATATCTGAATAGGTCCTCCCATCCCAGTGCTGGCCTGGGGGTTAAAGAACAGGAACTCCATCACAGGAGCTGGGAACACAAGTGAGAGGCTGAGACTCTTACTTTCCTTTGCAGTTACCTAGGAAGCTCTTAGGGACTAAATATTATCCATTTCAGAATGTTAACTAATGTTTAAATAATCCTTCTTTTCAATGAAAATCAAAATGTGATCATGAATGGTCTAACATTATAAGAGAGATACATGTCTGCTGTAGCTAAAACTAGAGCATCTTAACATTATTGTTTGGGAAGCAAAACACTCAAAAAAAAAGAATGGAATTCTGAAGGGAAAAATCATTGTATCTGTGTTATTCAATGTCAGATGAATTGGTAAACCTGCTAGTTCTAGGATTTGTGTATGGCTTTTTTAAGCCACATCTGTTATACTGATTTAATATAATACTTTGAATAGCACATTCCATCAGAGTTTCACAGCTGGGAATAGAACAGACTCATTTATACAATGCACTGCAGCTTTGTGATATAAATTAGAGCCACAGTCAAAGACAGAGCTTTTTCCTGTGAGTTCACAACAGCAGCACTCTGCACTACGGCCCTAACCTGATCGTATTTTGATTCAGCTACACAGAAAAACTTAAGCCTGCAGGATGCAGATCAAAACTTCCCTCCCAGGTTCAGCACTGCAGTTCCACTGGAGTCAGAGAGGCTAGGAAGAAAGCATCAGCTTTTTGTGTATTTTTCATCCTGCCTTGAGGTGGATTTTGAATCTCTGCTGTACCTCCCATAAGAATCATGATAGTTCACCATATTATGCATTGCTATAGGAACAGTTATGCTAAAAATTTAACTTTTGGTCATTGAGATCCAGAATATGGCACCCTAACCTTACATTGAAGAAAGTATATGAACACCCCAATTACAAGGATTATAGGGAAACCACTTCTTTATTTGTTGCAAGAAAGCAGAGTTTCCCTAGAGAAATACTGTATATTTCTATTCTGGCTTTCTCCCAAGTGGTTGAAGACAACTCATGTGTCAGGGTCCTTGTCACTCACCTCATTCAAGGCACACTAATAGAAAACAGTCTTAAAGCCACTATTTTATCTACACCCTTTCTAGGGCAGACATTCCCCTAACCTCTGCATGCATGGGGATGCATCTCAGGCTGAGATGGACTTGCCCAGCTAGGATAGCATAATTTGTTTGAGATGTGTGTCTGTTGTTGCCTCTCCTACAGCAAAGTATGCTAGAAATTCTGAGGGAAACCCCAGGTTTTTTAAAGAGTCCTCATATTTTACATTTTACAGCAACTCCCTTCACTGTGAAATTAATCTCTGCTGGTGATGACTTAAGGGCTCATGTGAGGAAGAGTAAAATTTCTTGAGCTAGGAGAAGCCAGATTTATGTATTCACAGAAAATACAGCATAAGAGAACTGTAGACCAATTGGAATACTACAGTAACACAGGTATTATCTCTTTAAGTGTAGCAACTACCTGACCTACCTGAGGCCAGGGCCATGTTCCTGTTCATGGTGCACCTCCCTTTCTAAAGAGATCAATTACACAAAGAGAAAAAGCAAATGGAAAAAACATTTTAAACAGAAATGTAACAAGCTACAATTGCCTTTTATTCCTAAGACATTTGATCCCTGTACTAGTACACGTCAAATCCATTCACTTCACAACTAAGAAAAAAAACAAATGTTTCACAATAATAATGGTCATACATGAGATGCAACAAACCAACACAGGTACTCTAGTCTGTGACCCACAGTCTTGAGAAGCCACTGTGATACAACCCACATTGAATACAGGTGTGAATATGATGGCTTTAGCATGCAGCCTTGTCAACAGACATCTTAGTCACATCTCTTAGCCCTACTATGTTACTATGCGTAACACTGCTTGTGTGTAGAACACTTGTGTTTTATGTGGTCAGGACTGCCTCTGTGGATCTAACTGGATCTGAGAAGTGCCCTAACTATAGGAAGTACCCTAAAAGCACATATTTTTCCAATTTCTGTATTCCATAGCCCACCACACACACTGGGCCCCATAGAAAAAAATGTGAAGTATCCCTGAAGCACTTCTAAATGGTCACCCTTTGTAAATCTGTAAATGCAGAAGACTGGGCCAGGGCTGTTCCACCTGCTCCTCAGCACTGCAGGCAAAACAGACTGATTGCAGGGCTGAAGGGCAGCTGTGGCTGTGGGAAGAAGAGATGCAATGGAAAAGAGCATTACTGACAAGAGAGGGAAGAAAAAGCTCTGTAGACATAGTCTTGCTGCTCCTGCTGTCACTTGGATAAAAGGAGGGATAAAAGCCACAACAGCTACTCTCAAGTAAGACTCTAGCACTGTGGTAGCAGCAGCAGCCTGGCATTACATGGGTTTGCTTTTAGGCAAAGCAAGCTGCATGCTCACAGTCACTGCCCAGCAAATCTGCTGCCCTAAGCAAATGCTTACCCTACCTTTGCCTAGGGCAGGACTTGCCTGGACCTAATCCATAAAACCCTCTTGCATTCAAGAAGCCATCAGTTCAAGTCCCCACTGAAGTCACGTAGAGCGTTGCCAGATTAAAAGTGGGCAAAATCTTGATGATTAATTCACAGCCTGAACTTCCTGTTGTAGGTGGTCTATTGGAGAACACCATGGCTCAGGTCCTAGCTGTGCTGTACAGTAATTCAGTAATTCTTAGGCACATATAACAGAACTTCATTTGATAAATTTGCTGATGACAGCAGATAAAGCCAAAATGGTGAAAGCATGTAAGGATAGAATAATTTCCTGTGTAGTTAGTAAGCCACAAATTGACAAACTCCAAATTGATTAAGGGTTTTGATTTGCTTTTTCCCCTCCAATGCCTAACCTACTTTTTTCCATCTCTCTCAGGATCATTATAACTGGAAGTCTCATGAAACTTACTTCCGTTTTAGCAAAACTTCAAATGCAAAGCACATCATGAAGGACTGCTTGGGTCTGCCTCTTCCAGAAATCTACACTACAAGAATGATTGCACTGGTTCTGTACTCTGAGAATCTAGCTGAACCTTTATGGAAAAAGGGAGGCAGAATGGGCCTGCAGGGCCACAGGGATAGAAGAAACCACAGATCAAGTTGCACGCCCTCCAAGACTTGACAAGAGCCATCTTGGCATATGGAGGATAGCAGGTAGGAGCCAACAGATTACACAAAGCCCCTGGCTCTGCTCCTCTAGAGCCACAGCAACACCCCGAAAACCTCAGAAAGACTGCTGCTGTTCACTGATATTAACAAACTGCTAATAAACCTAATACTCAAACATATTCTTTAGCATCATCTTCCCATCTTTCCTTTGAAATTTATCAGCTATAGTTCATTTGTCATGGTTAAATTTGTACCTGTTCTTGAGGTTTTAAATGGTGCCGATATGGTCTCTATGCCTTCACAAAGGGGGGCTTATTTCTCCAACACATTGCTGTATGGAGAGTTGCTTTCTTTGAAGCCTTCATGGAGATAGAATTTGGCTCTCATAAAGTCTACTGGAATTTTGCCATGAGCATCAATAGAACCAGTTCATGTGCAGATTTTGTTTCTATGAACCCTGACAAGGAACAAACCTTCGCTACTTCAATTGAAGTGGAAAAGTTTTCATGCTAACTAGCCAAGGTTTTTTTCCCTTTGGATTGGAAAGGAAAGTGTCAGCCATGTTAACATGATACTTATCATACTGGCTCCCATATTTCTCAAGTAATGGTATAATATTCAAAGCAATTACATAATAGAATTTTGTATTCTGCATAACTCATTGCTATTAAAACTAATAAGCTACACCCATGCCAATGACATGATTTTTTTCTGCAGTGCAGCAACTCCACTTTGAAAAACAAAAGCTAAAAAGCCCAATGAAGCTTTTTAAGACGATGAGACTTATCCAGTAATCTCTGATGGTGCGAGATATTGTAGAGCTACTACTGACATTTGTCTGGGAAGACTGCTTAACTCATTCTTGGCTCCACCATCAGTGATGTAATGAGTTCATCCCAAAATTGGGCAAGAATTTTTTTCCAACATCCTACATCTTGATCTGTGTTATATATACACCCAGTGATACATTCACAGATGTCTGTGACAGTAAATTTTCATATTAAGCAAGCCCATGCTGTGCCACTTTCCTGATGACACAGGATATTAGTAAGTTAAGATGAATATCAGGTAGCAAGGATCCTTATCCAGCACCATATATTTTCATACTCTGACAAATGCTTGAATACTTCTTGCTTTACAAGCCAGAGCTGACCAGACAGTTTAAAAACCAACCACAGGTTGGATTTTCTACCAACCATTTATTAGTAGTTGTTCATTTTGCTTTCCTATGACTTTGTCTCCACTCTAAATGGCAGAGACTCAAAGATTTGACACCGGGCTATGTTGTGCTAACAGTGCCTACAGGACGTAACAACCACAAAAATCTTTTCTCATCATCTGCACTCTTCTTCATAGGTAGAGACCAGAGTGAGGGCGCTGACATGGGTTGATGGAGATTATATAGCTTATGAGTATTGCAGCAGGCCTGATAGTGAACTGTGCCCAGTTTCTCACGACAGAAAGGGTCATGCACAAATATGACTTGATGCTACCTTTCTAGTTCCTTGATCCTGGAATTAAGAGACTTAATCATCCCCAGCACAACTAACTTTGCTGCTGCCTAGCAGTCTCATGATAGTTAAGGCAGCTCAGGATTTTGGCAATATCTTAACATCTCTAACTAGATCTCTTATTATTTGAGAAGGAAACTAGACAGCTCCTATCTTGACTTTATAGCACTTCACTCTGGAGTTTCCAAACACAGAAGGTATCCCTTAGGAATTAACCAACCCTGGAGAGTATGTAATAGGATGAATTTAACTAGACCTGTAATTTCTTATTCCTGAATAAAGTTAAAAGCAGCAGGATAGAGGCAAGGATCTGCTTCACGATTTGTTAGAGTCAACATTTCCTTGTTAAAGCATCTCTGGATATAAAATTGCAGTAGGTTGGTCTTAAGATTTAAATGAGATGCGAGCTGACACTTTCCAAATACATTTTGGAAGTGCACCCTGCAGGTCTAGGAGGGCATGGAGGAAAAAGCAGAGATACTGCCTTGCAGAGTCTGCCACTAGTAGAAGCTGACAGACCCACCACCAGACAGACTGCCAGACCTGATGTTCAGAACCACTCTCAAGCCCAGCTAGTCATCAGCAGCTGCAGGTGCTCTAAAGAAAACCCCTTTCTCCACACAGGGTAGATGTTTCCTGAAAACAGCACTGGAAGGAGGAATTCAACTTTAAATTGGGAAATAAATTACAATGTGACTATTTTCCCTCAAGTCCTGGCACAGCATCTTAACAACCTGTGGTCACAGCCCCCAGGGCACTCTTTTACTTGGTCAGCTGTCTATCCACACTATTATTTATTCCGTTTCATTCAAGAAGAGTAAATATAGTCCTGAGATTCTGGAAGAGGAAAACAGTTCATAGCATTTGCAAGTTGTGTGCCTGCATATATATGTGTGTGTGTGTATAGGCTGTACCGGTGGAGAACTGAGATTTTTTCTTCCTCTTCTATATGTTAACTGAAATTAACTGATTTATTGAAACTCACACAGAGCAGGCATAAAAACACTGCTCTGGCACTCAGAAAACTTGGGTTTAACTAAATGATCACAACCACTGAAATACAGAGAAAGCAGAGCCTTTGACAAACAGCTGCATCAACTGTGCAGGAGATCTGACAGCAGACAGCAGGTCTGTGATAAATCTGGCAAAGCTAATTAGAAGTTAGTCAGCAGACAACTCTGCAGTAGAAGGATCTGGCTTTGTCTTAATCCTATGACATGCTCTTACTGTGACAGCTCACAAGAAGCAGCTCTGCTACCATCTTTGGCAACCCTGGTAACCTTACCCCCAAAAAGGATCAGCCCAAAAGGTTTTTCAGAATTCATCAAATCCATAATAAAGCAGCTTATTACTAGTTATTAATTCTTGAACAAGACTGAGATTGACTTTTGCATAAAAAGGGTAAATGTTCCCCCAAGGTCTAAAGCTCACTTCAGAAGCAGTATACGAGTGGTTACTGTCCTCAAGAGCATGGCCTCCCTGCTGAAGTCTGTCAATAATTAAACAATCTATCTGTTCAGTGGTAACTGGACCAATATGACCACTGGATATTATGCTCTCTCTCTCACATGCATACCCAAGACATCAACTGGCAGCAGTGTTTAGTTATTAATGTGACAAGACTGGAAACAGCACTTTTGAGACCACTGACTTGCATACTATTTTTTAAATCTGTCTTTCTTTTCTGCTTTATTTCTCAGTAGCCTACAAGGTGTTTGTAAAATGATTCATGCACAAAGCAGTTAACTACAAAATATTCAAAAATAAAAGTGGAAAGCTCCATTTATTTTTATTTTTTTCTTTTTAGGAACTACATCTTGCAAAATCATTTGAAAGCTCTGATGTTGCCTCATGGATGTTCTTATTTCTTGATAACCCCAGTTTATTATCTAAACTCCAGAAATATCCAAAGACCTCATCCGTATTGTGTAAAGCACTGTACAAAGACATAATCAATCAACAATCCTGTCTTCTAAGAGTTTATATATGAAATTGCAACCATGAGAAATGCAAACACATATGCCAAAGCCTAATGTTATTTGTAGGTAAAACATTAGGAGGACCCGAGACTATTTCAGCGCTACCACAACCACATAGCTTAGGGTGAACAGCAAGAGCAATGTTTAAATCACAGGAAGCGATTTGGCTAGTCGTAATGATCTCAGATACCAAATATTCTGCACAAAATACTTTGTTTCCCAGCAACCCTCAAATTGCTGTTAAAATCTTAATCCTACTGCTTTACATATGATACGAAAATTTGACCTTTTATACAAGTGCATACTAATAACAGCAGCTGAATTGTTTGAAAGGTACAATAAAATTCAAAGCTATTCATATTCATAAATTAATATTTTTCATGTTACTAATTAAGAGCATTTTAACAAGCACACATGTGCCCTGCATGGTCATGAATGACCACGCACACACATACACACAAATGCTTTTCAGTTCTAGCATTTGTGTGAACCTTGAGCTAGCTCTATCATGTCTTACATAGTAACGATATCTGCAGAGATAAAGAGTGAACCTTTACAAAGGCAGACTTTAATCAGTCTTCTAATCAGAGTCTGAACTAATGAGGAAGATCTTAGTGCAATCGAGATAGCTCTTGCTTAACTGCATCTGACATTTTGGAATAGATTAGGTTCTAATGGTCTACGGCAGAGCTTTCTCTTTAGGAACCTTGGGATGTCATTAATAAATATTGGCCATCGTATAGGGACTCCACACCTCTGCAGCTGAGACAAAACATCTTATAGGAAATCACTGCCTACTGTGTTGTGAACCACATCAGTGAAGCCAGGCAACATCCATCAAAGATTAAAAGAGCAGAAAACGGAACACTGCTGTGACCAAACACTTGAAATCATGTGCCGACTGACACAAACAATTAGAATTCAGCAGGGGTATTCTCAGGCATTCACAAATCATGACTGCAGGAGACCTCAGGAAATGGGGCCACGATTAACCCATCCTGCTGTCCCCAGCCATAACAACAGGCTGCTATGGGGAAGAAGCTGCAAGGTTTCTCTTCAGAAAAGGCAGACATTTTCCTGAATTCTCAACTTCTGATCAAGATGTAAAAATTAGTCTGTTATACAGAGAGATCACAGAGCAGGAAATACGAGCTTAATTCTCTGGGTTGTGAGCAAGAAGGAAGATCTGTATTAGGGTTCTCATTTGGCAGCAAGGCGAAAAGCTCAAAGGCTGCAGGCCTGGGGTCTCCGAGAAAGGCAGCTGCTCTTGCTCCCCAGCATCTAGTGACAATCTCAATGCATCTTTGCAGAGCACCAATAGGCTGTATTGGTTAGGACGCATCTTGTCCTTACATAAAAAGCAGATTACTACAGGAAGACAAGTTGGACATTACATTTACTGATTCTGGGTGAATAAAGAAAGGAGAATGGAAAACTCTTTAGAGCACCAGAGCATGTGAAAAATTGTACAAACTGTAGGATAAAATTTCTAGGTTTTAATAATATTGGGCTCACAGAAAAAAAACAAGGCCAAGCTTTTCGGAGTGTTATGTTAGACACACAAAAACTGTAGAAAAGCTCCTTTTTTTTACTACTTAAAAATGGGTCAGTTGAACTTAGTTCTATATTCTTGAATCTGCAGCAAGATACCCTGAAGTAGACTGAGAAGTGAATATTTGAAAAGGATTT